TTAGAATACTATAAGCCCTTTTAGGTGGCATATTTAAGACCTACCTGACACCCAAAATTTCCATACCCAAGTTCTCTCCTACGTTGCCTTCCAGTAATCTAAAAAGCTCAAAGCATACCATCTTTATTAAAACCTGTATTTTTCCCCCCCCAAACACTTTGAAAAATGTTTATACTGCAACTCTCATGTTCTTTGTCTTCTCTAGTCACGTGGACAGCTGATTTCATTTGATTAGTCTAATATATTGTGTCTTTCTTAACATAATGCAGTGCTCCTACAGCAGGAGTCCACTGTTTCTCCGCAGAATGGGGTCTTTACTGGGCAGGCACCTGACGCGAACAGCGAGATCGCCATCTCACATGCAAACATATCAGAGCTCCATGATGTACATGGGACAGAACAAAAACTGGCCATAACAGTATTACCTCCACAATCGCCTTGCAAGTATACCTTGGGAAGAACAGTTACTGGTCTGAGAGAAAAAGGCAGTCAATTGGCACAGTGTGTAAAAAAAGCAGCAAATGAATAGGAGTTTTTACTGGAATTTGCCAGGCTGCTGCCTGCTGGTCTCGTGGTACCAAGCCTCATCTACATCAGTGGAAATATTCCCATATCTAGCATCCCTACTAGAGCTTTGCATGAAAAGTAAATGCAATACATTATGAGCTATGGCCTGTGACTAATCATCCCTCCTTGCCATATCCCCACAGTCATCTTTAAGGCTGTATGCAAAGTTGTACATTTGTCTTGGGCTGGCTTTTTATCCTAAAACGGATATCATTTAGTCATCATGCGAAATCTGATGTTGTGCTCACTGGAACAGGGAACTAACTACAATAAGTTAAGACTTCAAAGATAAGCCAGGCTACAGCAATAGAACTCAGTCCTGTATAAGAAAAGCAAAATTCAATGTTTGGTAGGTTGCAAGGCATACACACTTTGAACTTGCAGTTTCATCTTCCAGTGGTCCCAATTCTCGAGATACTTTATCTGTCACATACACATCACTGTCTCTTGTTTCATCTTCATCATCGCTACTCAGTACACAGCTGTCCGACTGTCGCTGGCTTCTTAATCTGAGATTTCTCCCTTGTCGTTGGTTCTCTGTAATTTAATTTTGGTAAGTTAGATATATTAAAATATATATATCTCTCCCTGGAACTGTCCTTGAAACACATGATTATAAATAGCCTGCAACGGTTCATATCTTAAATGGACCACGTTCAGCTGGGTTAAAAGCAATCTTAAACAAACTAGTTTCCTAAACATTAAGGCTGACCATTTCCAGACATTGTGGATATTCTGCTACATATCAACACAAAACATTTGCTCTATTCACCCTACAAAGAGCTAAAACATGATCTTAAAGATTCTCTGTGTCCTAAGTTTCATACAGTTACACCACCTGTGAATAAATCTCCCCTATAAGGGGAAGCTACCTCTCCCAGTTCTTACTGACAGAGAATGCTACCATACTATGTTGAGGAATTGCGACAATTGCTGTGTGATTTGAGAGAGAGAGAGGGATGAAGTCAAGTTTCCAAGTAGCATGGCAAGACAGCACATACACAACAAAAAAGCCTGATAAAACACAGAGTGCTTTGTTCAGAAAGTTTCAGAAGTGATGGAAGAGATACTTAAATCTAAAAATGTAAATTATGGAGCTGCTATGGGTTCTCACTGCTCTATCCAGGTATGATGCTAAACCGTTCCACTCTTTTTGTCTGCGTTAAACCAAACCTCCCCACTCAAAGGCAGTTTCTAAAAAAATGAGTCTTTTTAAGAACAGTACTTGGAAATTATAAAAATACTTTAAGCAGTGTCTCCTTAGCAATTTTCATCATCTTCCTCCTGAGACAAGGTAACTTGAATATAGAGTTATATTTCCCAAGATAAAAGGAGATGATAAAAATTTAATTGCCTGGTCTGTAACATCCAAAGGTTAAAGAACTGCTGTTTGCTTTTTAACAATTAGAAACCACATGCAATAATTGTCTCTGCAACTCCAGTGTCCATGTAACAATAATCAAGCACTAAGCAATTAAAATTACATAAATAGCCACAAAATTAAAATTCCTTCCTGCGTAAGTATTCAGCTACAACTTTTATTGCAAGTATTTTTTACTTGGCTCTTGCTTCATTCAGCACACAGATTACTTTCTAAGTAAGCAGCTAACAACATACTAATACATCTCAGATATTATAATCAGAACAAGGTCTGAAAGGTGTAAAAGATTAACTTATTTATACCTGTAACTATTGTAACACCTAAAGTAGAAAAAAAAAAACCACACTTGTTAATACATGTCAGTATTAAATTTGAGGCATGTTAGACTAGATAATGAAAGTGAATACTATGACCACAAATAACTTTCTGCCTTAGTTCCTTCACTGCAACACAGGCTAAAAAAGCCTTTCAACATTTTCTTATTCAAAGCAGATATTCCAGTGCTAACTGAAGTTATCAACTTCAGGCTTACAGAACTTCTGTATTTGGAAAATAAGAAAACATATTTTGAGCAGCTTTGATGTATTTCAATTGAGATACTTGCTACAAGCTCTGATAGCGACTATCAAGCACAGACCGGATCCATTCTCTAAGACACTGGCCAGATGCCCTTTGCCTTTTGGTAAATGCAGCTTCAGTCCATGCTGCTCAAATTCATTGGAAAAGAAAAAAAAAGTTTAGGACAATTCCATTATGAATTGTAAAATGTCAACTCACCTTCAACAATCTTGCATCAGTATATATGGGAAGGAAGAGAAAAGAAAAAAAACTATGACCCGAATCCAAACCTTGTAAGGATTAAGCCTAACTTTACTGCCACGTTCATGACATCGATTTACTTTTACTGCACAGATCTTCAAATATAGGTCAAATACACATTTCAATAGAATTTTTCAGTGCCTTAGCATTCAGTCTTCCAGATTCCTCAAGCTTAGTAGTTATCAGTAGCATTCTTCATAAACATTCATGACTGCGCCATGACGGGTATACCAGACTAACATCTATGAATGAGGGGTCTACATCTTTAGAGAGTATCATACTTGAAATGCATTTATCATCATGCCTACACAATGAAAAGGCATATGATCACCACCCGCCTGGTTGAACTGGTTAAATTCTTGTATAGACATTTAATCAGCCATTTTTCAAGAAAAGTACCCATGCAGATTTACAACAGTCTGAGAAAACAAGGCTGTACTGCTGTGCCCAGGAAGGGTTTTGCTAAGCAGCACCTCCAGAGAAGCTTCGGTGTTGACCTGTAACGCATGGCTTTCATGCACTGACAAGTCAACTTGGAACTTAAAACTTACCCTTAAAGCCAGATTCTATCAGGGAGCACAATACAAAACTAATTTGACCACAAGATTTAGATAAGCGTGCCACTCACTACTTACCACAACAGAATCATTGTGAGTTAGATCAACGACTACAGGATCAGAAGATTCACATGTGAGATCTACTACTTCTTCACCAGCTTCAAAACACAACGTTAGAATCAAGATCAGAGGTCGCAGACAAACAAAATTGCCTGCCTGCCACTACGTAGCAGGCTGAGGTACGAGTCAACCTTGCCCTATCCCTTCTCTCTTCAGGAACGTGTGCAACAGTTCACTCAAGCTTTGCCCTCAACAGTCCAGGTAGAGCAGCAGCACCCCTGTCTTCTGCAAGTTGCCACGCAAGAGGAACAGCAGCTGAGCTCCTCATACAGCTTTGTTGTATGACAACAGCTTGTGGGAGGTACACAGCAACAGATGATTCAACTAACACAGGAGAATGTTTATCACCCAGAATAAAACGCGAATCATAGAGGAAATAATACTTTTACAGCGCCATGCTGTAAATGTTCCCTTGAGGGACGCGGCACGACTAGCGACAAACTTTTAATTATCTTCTTAAAACTTAGGAGCTCCCAGACTTAGTTTGCCGTATCTGTAGTCGCAGCTGCAGTACCTCCCAGCTCATCAGACTGGACATTCAGATGTCTGAGCAGCACTGGAGTACCTTTCTTACACAGCTCATCTATCACTAGTGGTGAAGGCCTCGCACCTCAGTAACAAACTAGAACAGCTGTCAGCAGGCTCCTTGTTTATCGATGCCATACTAGACGCTTTCTAAAATCAGGTTTCCCTTCCTCCCCAGTAAAGGCCCTAGAAACTGGCAAAAATGCACGGTAAGTGGGACCCCAACCCTCCAGAAGCAGTTTACGTTCTTACCAGGTTAAAAAGAAACCTTACCACTTTCTTCAAGTTCTATTGGCTCTGCTTCTGAAGCCATTTCTGCGGTAGAAGCCATCAGCCTGTTTCGTTTCCGAACTCGCCTGGAATTAACTGCTCCTCCACGGCGCTTTCGTTGAGCCTATGAGAGGACAAAGCCTTGGCATTTTCTTTAGCAGTAACATTAACGTGGCCCTCATCTTGGCGGCACCAATGAAAGCACACGAGGAGACACAAAACACTCCCCTGAAAGGCTGTAATACCCAAAGAATGGGGGTATGGGTCATTCCTACCTGAATGCATCGCAGCAAGGAAGAGACATCACCCCAGATCTCCTACTCTTTGGGTCACAAAGGAAAAACGTATCGTAACGGTTTGCAAGGGAGAAGACTAGTTCACAATTACGTCAGGTGTTCGCTTCCAGCCAACCACTGGAATCGGTCTGACCTAAGGTTTTTGCTCGCCTTGTAAGCATTTCTGAACTATACTAGCACCTAGAGAGATTGAAAATCTTAAGTCTCACAGAACAGGAAGTTACATGACGCTTGAATATGCTTATGTTCCAGTGTGTTTACTACAAACTCTTAAAATCATTTCTAGAAGTACCATAAAACACACGTTTTAAGAATCAGGTTTGCACTGAGCAGTAAAATACTTACTGTGCTCATAGTGTTTCTTGATCTCAATCCACAGAGAAAGCAAGAGGTACAAATACCATAAAATTAATTGCAAGGAAGCTACAACTATCAAATCCTTATATTCCTTTAGGTCGTACACTGTCAAAAGTCCAGATTTCTCAGTGTCCGAGACCGACGTTCGTCCAAACCTGCAGGAAAAGAAGAGAGAAGATGACCTATCTGTAATGCTCGTTCGCTTAAATACACCCACTCCAAGATTCCCATTCCCGAGTCACCAGCTTCTATCCCAAGCTAGAGGGCACGTCCCACAGTTTGGTATTTGAGCCTCAGACACCTACAGCTGGGCCTGAAGCCTCAGTCGTTCTCACCCACTTCCCAAACTAAACACCAGAATAAGCTAGTTTGTTAGCAAACTAGAAAAATACTATGAATCCCAATTAAGTTTAACTGAAAAACAATGGACTGACGCTCGAGGCAATGTTTGGGTGTGGGCAGGAACCACTGGGAATTGTGTCATGAGCAACCATCTTCAGGGAACACAAAATTCCAGACAAGCAGTTCTCTTCCCCAGCCCATCTCCAGATTCCAACAGGTGGGAGCTGAACAGCTTGAGAGGAATCCAAAGCAAGCGGAGCAGAGAAATTTCAGCTTAGAAATACTCGCGGATCTGCAAGAGCATACGAGTGTACAGTAGCTACTCTGTGGTAACTGTAAGTGTGCATGCTCCTACCCACCAGGCAGCGAACTGCTAAGTGGGAAGAGGTGAAAAGCAAGTATAAAGGCGGTTATGAGTATCGGACACGGTACTGAAGTTCACATCTTAAAGCTTGCTCCTGGTAAAGTTATCCTGCGTCCAACACACAATGAGGAGCTGGAGGGGAGGTGGTGGAGGGACCAGGATAAAAACCCAATGACGTTAAACAAGAACTGCAGAACTATTTCCCGATACTGACCTTGATCTACGCTTCAAAGACCAGCACACATGCTATTAACCTATTCTCAGATTAAGAGAACTGAGACCATGCAGTGGGATGGAGTGGCACTGGTAGTCAGTCATAACCTTGAGTTAAAGGAAGCCCGACTGATTTTTTTCCTCTTAAACTTTCCCTCTGTATTTCTTAAATCAATGACTTTAAGAGACCCATTAACACTGAATTGTGACATTATTAAAACAAAACATGCTTGAGAAAAATCGTTACACTAAATTGGGTACTTTTCTAAGCCCAAAGATATATTTATGCACAGTTTTAAGCAACACAATACGCCACTCATCAATTTTCTCCCATTTTTTCATTTTAAAACTGGTACTGGATTGCAAAAGCTAAAATGAAAGTCAACTTTTTTTTTTTTTTTTTTTTTTTTTTACTTGGACCACTTGCTATATGCCAGACTTACTGATCAGTGAGCCCACAGGCAGATTCTGGTCACAGTAGATGAAATTTTCAGAACTGTTATGCATAACTCCCTCTCCCAATACGAACCTAATCAGTTTTGATAGTTTTGAGATTTTTTTAAGATGTTTTTTAAAAATTTGAAGTTACATGTATAATTATCCCAGAGTTTTTCTCGCAAATGTGAACAATAGTCTCATGTTCTCACCCGGGATGTTGAAGACTAAGGCTCAGAGTTTGCTCCCTATCAGAGAAAGCCGGGAACTGACTTTCAGTCTCCCACTTCCTCAGTGGAGGACTCACCTACGCAACCATTTCCATAACATTCTGTGTCCAGGTAACGCGAGTTCTCTTTGCACACTTCACCCCACTGTTCTTACGGCCTAGATTTCATTTCATCTGTTAAGGAAGAAGGCTTTTCTGCCAGCCTTACCAACATTCTTGGGAAGATCCTATTTTACTCACTTCACTGAGTTTTTGGAATAGGGAACAATGCCTAATTCTTCACTCGTACAAAACAAACCAGACAGACCGTTCTGCAAGCACATTTTCTAGGTGCTATAGGAGTTTCTCTCTCCATAGGATTATTATTCATAGGCTTGGTTTTGGAGCTTTTTGGAGACAAGGGGAAGAGGGAGGTGAAGCAAGAAGGAGGACACACAGCACGAGGGATGGGGGAAAGGGAGAGAATCATCCCTAAACCTAGCACATCTGCTCTTTCAAACTAGTTGCTCAAAGACAAGCTACCATCTTCATCTACAGCTACAACTGAAACTTAAAATAACTTGGGCAAAGCAGTTTCCCGCACACAGCGGAAGGATGAACACAAGACTGAGCAACACATGAGGTATATTAAGAAGTTATGCCATTAGATTCTTTATAAGTTTACTTAATCAAGAAAGCCAAGAGACATTTTCCTTGATTCTCCTCAGATATGGACTTGGAAAAAATACTTGGACATTAAAAGCTGGGAAATGCTAGCTGGTACACACATCTGAGGATTATAAAGAAATAAACTTTATATAAGCTTACTTTAAATTACAAGTTGTTAGAATTGTTTTTAAATAGAACCTGTTAGAGCAATCCGATACACTGACGTATCTGCACTGCTGAAAGACAGCAAAAACCAAGCCTGATGTATTCACTAGACAGCACAGTTTTGGATGTAAAACACCCAAAAGGTTTCACAAAGCTCGGTGCTTTTCAGATTTAACACTGAATACAACCCAGTGCAATGGTATGTTGACAAAGTATCTTTAGAAAGGGTTAAAAGTACAGGGGGGACCAAGCACCTGGGATGACTCTAAACATAAAATGTTGCACAGATTCTCTTTGGCCACAAGTGGCTTAAATGCCAAAGAAGAGCTATCACAGAAGAAAAAAAAAAACCAAACCCAAAACAACAACAAAAAACAACCAAACAAAAAACAAGCAAACAAATTTGAAAATTATGGTGACAAGAAAACCAAAGTAATACACAATAGAAGACCCGTCATGCTAAGACCACCTTATGCACATTAAATATGCACACACTTCTTTACCAAGATACCAAGGAACAGATTACTTATAGGGTTACTACAACATGTCTCAGAGGATCTAATATCAGAGAGAGCCACTTCTCGAACTAAGTGACAGAAAGCACCATTGCTATTTAGATGGGTTAATTTTCAGAATCTTACAACATCGACAGTAGGCTTTCTTTACAGTTAATACAGAGAGCATGCATAAGGCACAAGTATTCTAGCTGCTAATAACTCAGATCTTAACCTCTTCAGAAGCTTCTTCTGAAGAACGAAGTTGAGAATGGATACCCATAGGGAAGCTCATCACTAAAACCACCTTAAAATAGATCATTACAGGCAGACTAATCAGTACCAACACGACCCAGCTCAGGAGAGTCATGTTTATAAAGAAAATCAAACTGCTGGAATTTATTAAGACTATGGAAGGAGTCTCATGATCCGGCAACATTTTTTTTCTTGTAAGAACAAACCTCTTCTGTGGGGCTATAGGTTTCCACATGTTATTGGCTTACTCAGGAAACTGCATTGAAAGTTAGTTACCTGAACTGTAAGAACGGGTAGCAAAAATAAAGCAAAGCTTAACTTTCTTGCATACACCACAGATCAAGATAGTTATGCACAAGAACAAAGGTAAACAAAACAGTTCCAAGCTTTGCACATTTAGAGACATATTCATCAATAAGAATTCCTTAAAGATTTTCAAAACCTTAGGACCACTCAATTTAATAATATGATTTGTTATACAGGACTGGATAGCCCAAATGAAATAAGGTCTATATGCTCCCCCTCCAACAGTCACTATGAAACCCAGTACCAAGACTTCCAAGACTGGATAATAAAAATAGAGTTACTGCATCAACCTCCCCCCCCCCTCAACCCATAAGCATCAAATAACTCCAGCTGAAGCTGTGAAGCTGTTAGCGAGCTCATCTATTACACCTGTAGCAAGATGCATTCAGACATCAATTCAAAATTCTAGAATTAAGGTTAAAAAAAACAGCTTTTTTTTAATGTGAAAACTTAGCAGATCAACTTAGCAAGCCAATAAATACTTTTAAGATTTAGACTTTTTATTGCACCACTGCAGGATGATACCATACCAGAAAAAGCCACTCCCCCTTCCTCTCCTGCGCAGAGCTCTGCACATACAGTTATTGTTCCTGTCATTTAGCTCTCCCAAGGGTGTAAGTAGTGTTGTCCTCATAACAACAAAGTTCAACGTTTATTCTAGCTGACTCACTAGCATTTTAAGGGCTATATCCACCAACCTTTCTCTGTACAGGTAGATACTTGAGAAAAATAAAGGTAAAGTCATCTAAATTAAGAATGTTTACACGAGGAGTAAAAGAATATTGATTCCCATATTCATCATTTAAGCCTCCTGTTAAATTTTCTCCTCTATAAAAAAGTTAACATTTTCACTGTGTTCAAGTTGACCTAGTTTAACATGTTTGAATTACAAGTCAAAAAAAATGGCTTTTTTACCATGTCTGACTAACACAAACAAGACTTTATTTCATAATCATCTTAAACATTACAAATACACTACAGTAACTACTTGAAGAAAGCAATAATGTCAGTCTAAATGTTTGGTGTGCGCAAGGCACAGGTGACAAAAACAGTATACATTGTATTTGTCAAAACATTATATGCTATACCTTTAAGACTTCGCTTCTCATTTCCACTCTTAAGACCTCTCTTTGCACTCCTAACAGGAAAAGACAGTATCAAAGATGCAGCATGTATTAAAAAAATTTCTGCGGTCAGAAGATGCACGTACCAATCACAAAGTACTAGTCTTAAATTTTTTTATCACAGGGAAAAGTAATCTGCCATTTTACTCTTTCAAAACTTTCCTACCATGTATTTGCAGCACCTTTAAAGACGTTCTCATTTTTTTCACCAACTGAAGTGTAAACAGAAGCTGAGTCTATTATGTTTTATCCAAATTAGGTCAAGCAGTCCCATACTACAAAAGCTTGGTGAGAGGCACTATAAAGAGAGTAAAGATGAGCAATAAACAGCCTACCATAGAGCTATACTAGCTTGCCTGCTCTTAGCAGTCAGCTACATCTACAGACAAATAAGACATATGTTTATGAGCAGCCTAACAAGAAAACCCCAAACAAAAAAAAACAACAACAAAAGCCAAATCCAAAACAAAACAAAGCAGCTAAGAAAACACCCAGAGAACAAAACACAGCCAAAACTTTCAGTTGGCCAGATGTCCTATTTCGGAAACAACAAAAAAAGATGAAGACTGGCCAGAAGAAAAGCTCCCCATCGCTCTTATGCGCAGCAGTTTCTCCGAGAGAGGCTACAGCTTACTTCCAACGGTCCCAAAATCAGATACGGAAGAAAGGAAAAAGAAGTTGAGTCTTTTCACGTCCTGTAATGGAGATGTGAGGGACGCTGAGGTAGGAGAGAAGCATTCCCTCCGCTCCTGCTGTCACGCAAAACGGGAAGACAGACTAACAACTGCACGCAGCTACACCCGCTGCATGTGCTGAGCCGCCCCTCTTCCTCCAGAGGAGAGGAGAGGAGGGACGCCATCGCCTCCTCCCCAGCACTTGTCTCTCTCAGCCACTTCAGGACACCCTCTGAACAGCCCTCGCAGCAAACGCAGTTTACGACCCAGCGAGCACCACAAGAGGCCGAGCAGCCCGTCGGCAGCGACCGGCTAGTCTCGCCTTCAAGGGAACACGGGGCAGGGAACGGCCGCAGGCCTAGCTGGCCTCCGGACCTCAGCGCTGCCCGGCGCTCGGCGGGGAGGGCAGGAGCGGC